ACTTGAGTCATATTATAGTCATATTACGCTTTTGGTTTTAATTCATTTGACCGATACTTGCCAAAGCAATGGCATGAAACACAACATTAAAGAATGTCTCGGTTACGTATGGTAACCCTTGTTCCCTGAAGGAGGGAACGGAGATGTCACGTCGGATGACCGACGAATTGGGATCTCGCTTAGAGAGATCAATCTACTTTGAGTGTAAACTAAACGAGCCAATGCACATTGGCATGCGATTATTGCATCCAGCTGCCGCTGATCACAGCCAAAGATAAAACCTGCATGAAACAAAAACAGACAGGCTGAATGAGAACGCAAATTCACTCTCTGACAGCAGGTGGTGGTTCTGGATCAGCAATGATAAGAGAGGAAAAAATGCCATCGAAACTTTTGTGAAGTCCGTTCCCTTCAGAAATACATTCATATAAACCCCAACCCCAATATTTATATTTTTCTTCTGAACAGTGAGCTTGCTGTACCTGTACAGTATTTTAATCCTGTATTTTAAGCGTCTGTTAATTTTATGCCATGCTTGCAAGAGATAAACCCTTGAGCTTTTATTTTGGCGGAAACTTCAGTTGAACTTTTATTTTGGCAGAAAACTCCAGCTTCTGTGAAAACAGGTTTACAAACATTACTAATTTAATGAAATACTGTAAACATTTGCCCATTAAAATGTTGAAAATTATGCAAATGTACAAATTATGCATAACTGGTGGCCGTTGCGTTCCCAAACGCGATGAACTCACACCACATTCAATAACGGAGTTCACTGCATTCACTGTGAATGGAGCCGCTCTGAGATGCGGAAAACACCGGATCACGAGCCGATCGCCTGCGCTGCGCAATGTGGGCGCTTCACTTTGAAACAAGCAGCGCAAACAGACTTGAGTCATATTATAGTCATATTACGCTTTTGGTTTTAATTCATTTGACCGATACTTGCCAAAGCAATGGCATGAAACACAACATTAAAGAATGTCTCGGTTACGTATGGTAACCCTTGTTCCCTGAAGGAGGGAACGGAGATGTCACGTCGGATGACCGACGAATTGGGATCTCGCTTAGAGAGATCAATCTACTTTGAGTGTAAACTAAACGAGCCAATGCACATTGGCATGCGATTATTGCATCCAGCTGCCGCTGATCACAGCGTGAGTATAAGTAGGCAGCAGATGCAGCGCATATTCAGGTTTTCGCTGAGGAGTCAAGCCGGTGACTGCTGGTACAGGAGCTCATGACGTCTCCGTTCCCTCCTTCAGGGAACGAGGGTTACTATACGTAACCGAGACGTTCCCTTTCAGTCGGTCACTATCGACATCATGTCGGATGACCGACGAATTGGGATCCCTACCAAAAGGCCACAGATACTGCCACTTCCAGTGTCCTGTGGGAGTCTCCTGCGCCCCTACTTTTTGGCGCAGGGCAGGGCTTACCACAAGAGGACCAGCTAGTGCTGCTATGGCAGTACCCAGTCAGTAAGACTGGATAACACTGGGAAAACATACCCCTTCCATTTGGGACCGGGACGCTGCGGAAGCTCCATCCTTCCCGAAGGAGGTTTCGGAAGCAAATACACACATGACCATCCCTTAGGTGCTTATGGAAAATTGGAGGTGATTGTAACTCTCTTGGAGTGGCAGAAGTCTGCCGGGGAAACACAGGCTCTAAGGTCATACCATGGACTTTACACATATGGGATCCACTTAGGTCTCTACGGAACCCAGCCCTCTACCGGTTCTCATGGATTCATCGAGAGAGGGCCTGGCGCCGGACGCTCTGGCTGCCTAGAGTCTGGCTGCCGAGGGGACGGAGGAGCTCAACAGGGTCTACTATGCGGACTCTCTGGAGCAGTTTTAGCAAGCCAACACGGAGCCTGACGGTTCGAAGAAGCCTTTGAGACGGGCTGGGTAGTGCTAGCCAGGCTTCCAGATGCCGTGCAAGTGGTACCAACGGAACTACAGGCATGCCCGCAGTGGGGCAACGAGGAAGAACGCAGGGACCCGGCCCAGGCGTCTCGTAGCCGGTCTGAGGCAGGGTCTGAGTGTGTGTAACACTGACCTGCATAAGAGCAGAGGGTGTGTGGGTAGTCCGTTGGCTCGTTCTCCCGATCCGCCCACTGCTGCTCACTGGCGAGAGAGAAGGGTGAGTGTGATATGACATTGGATCATCCACAACCCCCCGTCCCCTCTGGAGACCCAGAGATAGAGGAAATTGCTCTTTTGTCGAAGTATTTGGGTACCACTGACCGAGAGGTCAGTAGCGGAAAAAAAACAACAGATTCTCCGCCCGGCCCTCCTCCGGGGGAGGGAGTGGTGTGTTCACCATCTCCCGAAGAGCAGGTCCCCCTCCACCTCTGGGTTGCCCGTCTCAGGGCCTCTTGCTCTTTCGCTTGCCACCAGGTTTAATGGGGGCCTGGACGGGCGGGGCAACTGCCCTGCGACCGGCTCCACGGCGTAGCTTTGCAGGAGGCCGCAGGAGCAGGGGCGGTGGCAGGGGGCCGCCCTCGGCGACGGCAGCAGCTGTATAGCAAGACGTAACGTCAAGTTTGCCACGCAACGTCGTCTTTAAAAAGATGCACCCGTAATTGCTCTTTTAGGGAAATAGCTCTTTTAGCGTGCTGAGGCGCACAGGGGAGATGGCCGCCTGTAACACAAACAGGGGGTAGTGCAGCCTGATGTGTGCAACCCACTCGACACGGGAAACCACCACCGCTGAAGCGCCGTACCGCCAACACGAAGAGCTCTCAAAGAGCGGGCTGAACTCGTTCAGTCTTCTTCTCTCAGTGGAGTAATCAGGAGCAGAACGATGTGGTCGCTCGGCTCCGAAGCGAAAAGCTGAATATGCGCTGCATCTGCTGCCTACTTATACTCACTCTGTGATCAGCGGCAGCTGGATGAAATAATTGCATGCCAATGTGCATTGGCTCGTTTAGTTTACAGTCAAAGTAGACTGGTCTCTCTAAGCGAGATCCCAATTCGTCGGTCATCCGACGTGACGTTGAGAGTGACCAACTGAAAGGGAACTTGTTATTATTTACTTATGTTATAAGTATAAATATATCTTCGGTTTATTATGAAACTGTGGCGGGCCTAGTTAATGAATGAGAAACACTGGGACCCCTCGAAACGCGATTGGGCCAGTTTTGAGTAGCGATTGGGCAGGTTTTCGAAAACCTGGCAACCCTGACTCTGATCTGCACTTCACATATACACCTACCCACCATTCAATCTGTGCTTAAGTGTACAGGACGTGAACCGGGTCTTCAGAAAACAGAAGTCTAAGAAAGCTTCATGCACAGACTTTGTTTCACCTGCTTAAAAGTCTGAGATACACAGATCACTGGAGCAGTGTGTAGTCCCCTCCTGCTTCAAATGCTCTACCATCATTCCGGTCGCCAAAAAACCCAAAATCACTGGACTTAATGATTACAGACCTGTTGCTCTCACGTCTGTGATCATGAAGTCATTTGAGTGACTGGTGTTAGCCTACCAGAAGGACATCACTGGACCCTTGCTGGATCCTCTTCAGTTTGCGTACAGAGCAAACAGGTGATGATGAAGTCAACATGGGATTGCATTATATTCTGCAACATCTTGACAGACCTGGGACTTACACAAGGATCTTGTTTGGAGACTTCAGTTTGACCTTCAATGCCATCTTGACTGGCCTTCTCTCAGACAAACTGACCCAGCTTTCCGTGCCCACCCCAGTCTGTCAGTGGATCACCAGCTTCCTCACAGACAGGCAGCAGCTAGTGAGGCTGAGTAAACCCAGGTCTCTCACAATCAGCACTGGCACACCTTAGGGATGTGTGCTCTCCCCACTGCTCTTCTCCATGTATATGAAACGAATGCACTGCAAAAGACAGATGACATGAAATTTGCAGATGACACTACCATCATCGACCTCATACACAATGGAGATGAGTCTGCTTAGAGGCAGGAGGTTAAAGAGCTGGCTTTTTGGTACAGTCACAACAACCTGGAGCTGAACACACTCAAAACAGTGGTTAAGCTACCAAATCAGACATCAAGAGACTACAACAGACAGTCAGGACTGCTGAGAAGATTATTGTTTCCCCCCTGCCCAATCTCCAGAGTGAGGAAAAGGGCTAAGAAAATCACTTTGGACCCCACATACCCAGCCCAATCTCTCTTTCAAATGTTGGTATACAAAGCACCGACCACCAGAACAGCCAGGCACAAGAACCGTTTTTGTTTTTTCCGTAGGCTATATTCAGCCTTAAAATTAAAACGTTCATAACTGTGCATTGTCCATTATAACTGACACATTTATTCATAGCATCTGAAAATTGTACATTTGTAAACTACATAAACTCTACACTTGAAAATAACATATCTGTACATTCATTAAAACAGTTGTTTTTTTTCTATATATTTATACTTCTGTATTATATTGCATTTAATTTTCAGTTTTTCGCACATTAGTGTTATATTTCATCTCTACTGTGTAAATCCTATGCATGTCTGCACTGGCATGTATGTTTGCACTAATGTCTGCACATTCTTCTGCACTGAAAGCTCCTGTCGCCAACACAAATTCCTCGTGTGTATAAACATACTTGGTAATAAAGCTCTTTCTGACTTCTGACTAATATGGGCAATGAAGGACAAACATGTCTTGTGCCAATTTGTAAGGGGATAGATTATTATTTATACATACTGCCATTATAGGGGATGTTCTAATTAGAGAACCTTATTCTAATTATTACATTTTTAATCAAACCTGATTTTGTTCAAAACATATAGAGTCCCACTCCATCTGGTTAAAAGCTCTTCAGTATCAATGATTTTATAAAACAATTGTCAATTGTTTGAAAACATTCATTATTTTTGCAACTGGTGCTGCAGAAATCTCACACTTCATATTTAAACAAATGGTTTTCTGTGACATGTTCCACAAATGCTGTTGATCAAAACATCTACGGAACACAAAATGACTTGTAAATCACTTTTTCTCTCTATCATTTAGAGGTTTCAGCTGGAGCGTGTTCGTCTACAAGAAGTGAAACGATCCAGCTATGAACACACTAAAAAGTGTGCTGACCAGCTCCTGCTGTTGGGACAGGTAAGCGACAACATACATTTGATGAATTTACATTACGTCATTATAATACAGTAAAAGAAAATGCAGTTAAAATACTAATATTTGGCCTGACCCTTTAGAATTGTCTATATTTCTGCATAAATATGACCCAAAACATAAAAAATAATCAGAATTTTGCACAAGTCCTGAAAGTAGACAAAGAAACCCCAATCAAACAATTAAGACAAAAATATTTTTTGTCATTTATTATTCAGGAAAATGATCCAATATTACATATTTGTGAGTGGCAGAAGTATGTGAATCTCTATGATTAGCTGTTAATTTGAAGGTGAAATTAGAGTTTATTTATCAGAGATGTTTTCAATCAGTGAGATGGCTATCAGGTGTCATTGCTGCCATGTTTTATTTAAAGAACAGGGATCTATCAAAGTTTGATCATGTTTGTGGAAGTGTATAATCAGCACAAACAAATGAGATCTCTGAGAACCTGATCCCATCTGTGAAACATGGTGGTGGTAGTATCATAGTTTGGGCCTGTTTTGCTGCATCTGGGTCAGGACGGCTTGCCATCATTGATGAAACAATGAATTCTGATGAAGGAAAATGTCAGGACATCTGTCCGAGAACTGAATCTCGAGAAAATGGGTCATGCAGCAAGACAACGACGCCAAGCACACAAGTCATTCTATCAAAGAATGGTTAAAGAAGAACAAAGTTAATGTTTTGGAATAGCCAGGTCAAAGTCCGGGCCCAATCCAATTTAAATTTTGTGGAAGGACCTGAAGCAAGCAGTTCATAGGAGGAAACCCACCAACATCACAGAGTTGAAGTGGTTCTGTACTGAGGAATGGGCTAAAATTCCTACAAGCCGTTGTGCAGGACTGATCAGCAGTTACAAGAAATATAGAAAATGGTAAAGGGTTCACAAACTTTCAGGCAGTACTTTATGTATGTATATATTAGGGGTGTAACGATACACGTATTCATATTGAACCGTTCGGTACGAGGCGTTCGGTTCGGTATGCATTACAAACCGAACGATTTGATTTGTTGGACTAATCTTATTACATTTGGTAAATAAAACAGCTTAAAGTGTGTGAAATATAATGTTCTCAGTGCCACTGCGCTCAACAAGGCAGCCCAAATGACATAACAGACAACGTGCTGTCTGCCCAGTGGCGTAACGTTAGCGGACGGGCACGCAGGACACGTACTGCGAAAGGCCCCGCGATAACCTCCCTGTGTTGTATCAACGATAGCCATAGAGATATTATCAAAAACATAAATTGTTGGCAATATTAAGATATTTGGCATTTCCAATTAATGTAGGCCTGTTACATTCTTATTTTTATTAGGCCTATTATTATTATTATGAAGTTACTTTTATTATTAAATTAAAATTAGTCAAATTAATTTGCCCCGCAATAATTACCAAATAACTTTTAACTATTAACACTTCAGTCATCAATAAAAATCAATGAAAAAAAAAGCTTTTATTTCAAGCACTGACTTTCAAAAACAACCTAACACGAAATATGTTTCTTCATTTTTTTTATGTAATATTAGAAATATTAAGAGAATAAATTAAAACAGTTAGCTATACCGTTATCAGCCTTTGTGGTTTAAAACAGAAATATTTCCAACATTGCGATGTAACCAATTACCCCAGTACCGAACCATAACACCACTGTGTCGTATCGAACGGAACCGTGAATTTTGTGAAGCGTTACACCCCATATATATAGATCTCATACTGTATCGCGTACCTTGTCGGTGTCATGCGCTTTGCTTGGCCATTTGTTGTGATAAACAGGAAAGTGTGTTCAAGCGCCAGCAAAACACAGTGTAAAGAAATGCTCTTTGTGAAGTATAGTGAAAACACTATTTATTAGCACAGTAACAAGATTGGCAATTTAAGACGTTAACTTGTAAGCACAAAACACAAGATACTTCTCTTTTCAATATAAATAAGGCTTTATTGGATAAATCTAAGACATGTAAACTAATCTAACACATGAACACACACATTCACACAAGTTGCAGAAAGCGAGAAAGTAAGGAAAGAATGAGTTTAAGGAAATGAAAATGTGAAATCCCAAGTTTACAGCAATGTGTGAAAATGCATAGACATGAACAACCATCAATCACTTAATTAACCCTCGCATTGTGTTCCTCAATGAGGTTAAAATTATATTAAGTGCACCAGTTCAGCTAAAATCTGGAGGTACTTGCCTTGCCTGTGTAAGGGGTTCCCTTCCTTGTCTGGTTGCTGAAAGGGGTTTCCCGAGGTTGCTGATTGGCTGGAAGTTCAGTCTTGGGAAGCCAGTGGTTGGGCGTTGGCTGACGACGCGGAGTTGTGAGCTGGTTGAAGTTTTAGACGGCACTCGAGACACGGCGTTAGGCAACTTAACTCCGAACACGAAACTCTCAACTAAAAAGCCGCATACTAAAAGCTAAAAAGCAGCATAACTAAAAAGCTATGACTAAAAAAGCATGACTAAAAAAAATCCTACTAAAAGCAATGATTTGATGGTGTCCTGCATATTTAAACTGGGTTTTTGGACACATCCCAAATGGTGTTTTGACCAATTAGACACTGTCTTAGCTAGGGCTGAGTATCGAGTTCGATACTTTTTAGGCACCGACCGAATTGCCTCGATACCATCGAGTATTGAAAAACGTCTTGTCGTTCGGTACCAAATTTCGATACCTAAGGGGTTAATCTCATCAGCGTCAGTGAGCCAATAAGCCTGCAGCACTTGCCGGTGTGTTCGACTAGAGGCGCGGCGCAGATCAATCATCCGCGAGAGCGATTCGAAAGCGCACGGAGCAGTCTGCTTTCTTTAGCTCTCGTGGTACTGTAATACCACCAGTATAGAGTAGCGCGGGAGCTGCGTAAGTCTTAAGATATTTTTTAAGACCTGCACAAATAAAATATAATATGAGCAAAGTAGGACAATGACTATGGTAACATATTAAACTGTAAAATGACTGTAAAAAGCATGACTTACAAGTTTTCACAAAACAAAATGTTTTATATAATTTAAGAAAATGGATGTTGTATCTATTATATTAATTAAAACAATTATTATTAATCAATTATTACATTAATTAAATAACAATATAAATGTAATGTATATCTTAATTGTTTAGATTTTTATAATGCATTATCTTCTTGTCGATCCACCTGTTCACATTTACAACCCTGCGTGTTTGCAGCGTCAATTTTCACATTTGGTAAATTTTCCAACATTAGTCAGCAGGAGGCGATTTAACTGCAGAAACAAAGCAGGTTTCTTGGTAACGACTGTACACAAAGCAGCGCAGAAACAGGCAGCGCTCATTTATTTAATGTTTGTTCGTGTTTTAGTTGGTTAGGTTTGTATTTCGTTATGTTCTGTTTATTGTCATAGATATATACATATCTATGTTTATTGTGAGATATGGTAACTATAGTAACCGCAGCGCCCATTGCCATATGTGGTCAGAAACTACCGTGAAACGCTTAGTATAAACACTTAGGTAAGGGTGACAGTAAAGACGTTTGTTGCAACGCTCCTAAAGAAATCCCTTACCTCAGGGAATTTTTCCCCCTCAGGGATACTCCTAAGTCAAATTACTTAAGGACTTTCATGCAACCGGGCCCAGATCCCTACTATCACTACCAATCGCAAACCATGCATCACACACTGTAGGCAGCGCAATCCTAACAACCTGTGCACTTTGCCTATGTCCACTAATACACTACTTTCTTTTTCTATTGGTCTCTGGAATTGCCAGTCTGCTGTAAACAAAGCAGATTGTATTACTTCTATTACAAGTCATTTGAGACTAAACCTCATGGTCCTGACAGAGACGTGGATCAAACCAGAGGACAATGCTACACCTGCAGCACTCTCCAATAATTTCTAATTTTCCCACTCCCCCCATCTGACTGGAAGAGGTGGTGTGATCTTGGTCCACTTCTCTCAGGATAGCAGAATGAACAGGTGGGAGAGGGGCAGAATGTGGGAATATTATCCACGTATTAATTGATTGCAGATTATGTTTTTCTCTTGGATGGATAAAAACATAAACAAATTAAAAATGGGTCACTGAATATGCAGTGCTTTGGCTGCCCAAGTTAAGTCTATGTGTGGGAAACACTTCATTAATTTAAATATGAAGTGTCTTTAAAGCAGCACTATGTAACTTTTGGCACTCTAGCGGTTAATAAACAGAACTGCACACATCCCGCGGAAGAACATTCCAACCTATAGACTATGTCTATGGCGATTCACGCAGGTATGTGTTACTCCGCACGACCCGACCAGGCTACAATAGTTCAAATATAAGTACTTATTATAAGTGTACCGTAGTGATTCGGAATAAGACAAAAACGCGGTTTGGAAGATGAATTCATGATGTACTCGCTCATTATATACAATTTGCACATTTTTAACACAGAAAAAGTTACATAGTGCTGCTTTAAAGTGTTATGTGTCAGTAGTTGCTGTTCCCAAAAAAGCATAAAAAATGGCACGCCTCACATATGACCCTGTTATGCAGTGTCCTGCCATCAGCAGGACCTGTGGGGTGGAAATCGATGGCTGAGAGTGAGAGGGGCATGCTCAATTTACTTAAAATGAAGGAAAGATTACCTGTAATCTCAAAACTGAGTTTTAGAATTTCAGCATGCATGAATCGGATCCAAAATCACAAATCAGAAGTACTATAAACAAACAGATGCCACAAAAACTGAGACTGAGGGTTCTTTTCTGTACCCACTGTATATGAGCCTACACCTAAACTTATTACAGAGATGACAATAAGGGTCTGACCTAACTTTCATTTTATACAGCCTACTTGGTGTGATGCCCTATTAATAAGCTTATAACTTATCATCTGATGTGCAATGTTCTTGGATGAAAAAAAAACTAGCCCATACCACATCCCAGGTGAACCAGTATTCATTAAATCCTCTGGAAGCTGTGCTTTACTGTCTTTTTATTTTTATAAAAAGTGGGAAAGTGGAATATGACACCACTGTTCTATAATTTTCATTTAAATGTTCTTTACATTTAAAATATTTCAGTTGGCTAATAATGATCAGAACAAACCTATCTTTTCTTTCTTCATCAGACGGACCGTGCAGTGCAGTTGCTTTTGGAGACCAGTGCAGATAACTCCAGCTACTACTGTGACTCTCTCAAAGCCTGTCAAAGTGTGTCCAGCTGAATTCAATTTGAGTTTTGTTAGACGAATATAAAAAAGCTTAGTATACTGCGGCAGCACTAGTGTGAAGACGGAAGAGTGTAAAGACCATCGACTCTACCGTTCGGCTCCACTGAGCAGGAAAACCAGCAAAGGACATAAGTATCGCTTTTGAATCATTCTCTTTCATATTACTTGTTTCCCTTCTGTTTTCAGTTTTTATAACTAATTCTTACTATGTGTTTCCAGATCCCTACTATCACTACTGCTCGCAAACCACTGTAGGCAGCTCAATTCTAACAACCTGCGCACTTTGCCTATGTCTACTAATATACTACTTTCTTTTTCTATTGGTCTCTGGAATTGCCAGTCTGCTGTAAACAAAGCAGATTGTATTACTTCTATTACAAGTCATTTGAGACTAAACCTCATGGTCCTGACAGAGACGTGGATCAAACCAGAGGACAATGCTACACCTGCAGCACTCTCCAATAATTTCTAATTTTCCCACTCCCCCCATCTGACTGGAAGAGGTGGTGTGATCTTGGTCCACTTCTCTCAGGATAGCAGAATGAACAGGTGGGAGAGGGGCAGAATGTGGGAATATTATCCACGTATTAATTGATTGCAGATTATGTTTTTCTCTTGGATGGATAAAAACATAAACAAATTAAAAATGGGTCACTGAATATGCAGTGCTTTGGCTGCCCAAGTTAAGTCTATGTGTGGGAAACACTTCATTAATTTAAATATGAAGTGTCTTTAAAGCAGCACTATGTAACTTTTGGCACTCTAGCGGTTAATAAACAGAACTGCACACATCCCGCGGAAGAACATTCCAACCTATAGACTATGTCTATGGCGATTCACGCAGGTATGTGTTACTCCGCACGACCCGACCAGGCTACAATAGTTCAAATATAAGTACTTATTATAAGTGTACCGTAGTGATTCGGAATAAGACAAAAACGCGGTTTGGAAGATGAATTCATGATGTAAATTTAAACAATTATTATTAATCAATTATTACATTAATTAAATAACAATATAAATGTAATGTATATCTTAATTGTTTAGATTTTTATAATGCATTATCTTCTTGTCGATCCACCTGTTCACATTTACAACCCTGCGTGTTTGCAGCGTCAATTTTCACATTTGGTAAATTTTCCAACATTAGTCAGCAGGAGGCGATTTAACTGCAGAAACAAAGCAGGTTTCTTGGTAACGACTGTACACAAAGCAGCGCAGAAACAGGCAGCGCTCATTTATTTAATGTTTGTTCGTGTTTTAGTTGGTTAGGTTTGTATTTCGTTATGTTCTGTTTATTGTCATAGATATATACATATCTATGTTTATTGTGAGATATGGTAACTATAGTAACCGCAGCGCCCATTGCCATATGTGGTCAGAAACTACCGTGAAACGCTTAGTATAAACACTTAGGTAAGGGTGACAGTAAAGACGTTTGTTGCAACGCTCCTAAAGAAATCCCTTACCTCAGGGAATTTTTCCCCCTCAGGGATACTCCTAAGTCAAATTACTTAAGGACTTTCATGCAACCGGGCCCAGATCCCTACTATCACTACCAATCGCAAACCATGCATCACACACTGTAGGCAGCGCAATCCTAACAACCTGTGCACTTTGCCTATGTCCACTAATACACTACTTTCTTTTTCTATTGGTCTCTGGAATTGCCAGTCTGCTGTAAACAAAGCAGATTGTATTACTTCTATTACAAGTCATTTGAGACTAAACCTCATGGTCCTGACAGAGACGTGGATCAAACCAGAGGACAATGCTACACCTGCAGCACTCTCCAATAATTTCTAATTTTCCCACTCCCCCCATCTGACTGGAAGAGGTGGTGTGATCTTGGTCCACTTCTCTCAGGATAGCAGAATGAACAGGTGGGAGAGGGGCAGAATGTGGGAATATTATCCACGTATTAATTGATTGCAGATTGTTTTTCTCTTGGATGGATAAAAACATAAAAAAATTAAAAATGGGTCACTGAATATGCAGTGCTTTGGCTGCCCAAGTTAAGTCTATGTGTGGGAAACACTTCATTAATTTAAATATGAAGTGTCTTTAAAGCAGCACTATGTAACTTTTGGCACTCTAGCGGTTAATAAACAGAACTGCACACATCCCGCGGAAGAACATTCCAACCTATAGACTATGTCTATGGCGATTCACGCAGGTATGTGTTACTCCGCACGACCCGACCAGGCTACAATAGTTCAAATATAAGTACTTATTATAAGTGTACCGTAGTGATTCGGAATAAGACAAAAACGCGGTTTGGAAGATGAATTCATGATGTACTCGCTCATTATATACAATTTGCACATTTTTAACACAGAAAAAGTTACATAGTGCTGCTTTAAAGTGTTATGTGTCAGTAGTTGCTGTTCCCAAAAAAGCATAAAAAATGGCACGCCTCACATATGACCCTGTTATGCAGTGTCCTGCCATCAGCAGGACCTGTGGGGTGGAAATCGATGGCTGAGAGTGAGAGGGGCATGCTCAATTTACTTAAAATGAAGGAAAGATTACCTGTAATCTCAAAACTGAGTTTTAGAATTTCAGCATGCATGAATCGGATCCAAAATCACAAATCAGAAGTACTATAAACAAACAGATGCCACAAAAACTGAGATTGACTTGAGAAGGTGATTAGCTACACCTGATTTGAGTTTACAAGTCAATAACAACTCAGTTATTTATTTATTTATTTTTATGTTGGTGTTTTTAGAATTTCAGCATGCATGAATCGGATCCAAAATCACAAATCAGAAGTACTATAAACAAACAGATGCCACAAAAACTGAGACTGAGGGTTCTTTTCTGTACCCACTGTATATGAGCCTACACCTAAACTTATTACAGAGATGACAATAAGGGTCTGACCTAACTTTCATTTTATACAGCCTACTTGGTGTGATGCCCTATTAATAAGCTTATAACTTATCATCTGATGTGCAATGTTCTTGGATGAAAAAAAAACTAGCCCATACCACATCCCAGGTGAACCAGTATTCATTAAATCCTCTGGAAGCTGTGCTTTACTGTCTTTTTATTTTTATAAAAAGTGGGAAAGTGGAATATGACACCACTGTTCTATAATTTTCATTTAAATGTTCTTTACATTTAAAATATTTCAGTTGGCTAATAATGATCAGAACAAACCTATCTTTTCTTTCTTCATCAGACGGACCGTGCAGTGCAGTTGCTTTTGGAGACCAGTGCAGATAACTCCAGCTACTACTGTGACTCTCTCAAAGCCTGTCTGGTTACAACCATCACCTCATCCGGCCCGTCTCAGAGCACCATTAAACTGGTGGCCACAAACATGATTGCCAATGGCAAACTGGCAGGTATAGCAAAAAGAGTCAGCCTTGTTTAAAACCTGTATGTTTTTCTTTCTTGTATAGAACACTAAAGGAGATGTTTGTCTACGCTCTTTTTCCATATAATGAAAACAAACATTGATCAGTGGCTGTAAACTCCGAAAAGAACAAAAAAGTATCAAGAGTTTATACTCCTTATTCCCTATAGTATATTTCATACAATACAAGCCATATGATAGCTTTATGTCAGGAGTCACCAATATTCATTATTGTATTGTATTCTGGGATTGCCTTATCGATAAAAGATACTGTACATGCATTGCTGCCGGAACTCAGCCTGGAACTCAGATGGCTGCATGATTTTTCTGCCTGGGTGAATGTCATGAAAACATGTCCAGGTCATATTTGAAACCTGGCCAAAAAAAAAAAGACAGAATAAAAGAAAATTTATTTTTTATAAAGAAAATTAAGAAATTATAGATTGCATATGTAATAATTTGCCCTCACATGGGTACCACTAATGTAATATTTTCCCCACAATGGACCAGAATGCAGTGTGTCTCACAGGTGCCACCAATTAATATTGTGAGTTACAGTCATGTCACTTAAAGTGAATGTGAGAGTGTTGGATGATTCCTTTCTCTTTTTATAAAATGGGGCATAAAGGACTCTCACCTTAAAGGCAGAGTGAGGGATTTCTGGTAGCCAATGTTAATATTTGAAATCACCAAAACAAACACGCCCCTACCCCAAAAGGGTCTCGCCTCTATTCTGATAGCTCCGCCCCACATATACGTACGCAACCCAGGCAACGATTAGTTCTGTGAAACAAAGCAAAACCAATGTTACACCGTGTCTACGAACGTGAGCGGCGCAGCGCAACAAATCCCCGACAGAAAACTGCTGCCGGGTTCTATTTATGACGTGCTGACACACATTTCAAATGGTTTTCAACGGTCGTTTGAGCGCGTCCAGTGTAGGCAGACTTTAGCTGTTGTAGACACTGTTACTCACCTATTGAGAAGAAACAAAGCAACCTCGGCGTCCGATCGCAGGCCTCCGCTCCTTGAGTTCTCTCCAGCGCTGGAAAGCTGATCCGATATTTACATGGGTCCTACTTCTTGCCTTATCGTTCCGCAGACGTTTTCCTCTTTTGTTTTTATCCTCCATCTCCATCTTTCTGTCCCGTGCACTGAACGCGCTCTCCTGCACTTCACGAGTAGACACGCCCCTTATTGCTGATTGGCTACAAGTTTGTTTTGCGATTTGGCCCGAATCAGTTTTTAAAGTGTTTTTGAAAAATCACTTACTCTGCCTTTAACATTTAATTACAATCAAGGAAGGTGAATAAATAACAATTATGTAAATTGGTGGTAGTTTGTGATATGACCAATCAGAAGGATTTGTGAGAGATTCTAAACTAGTAGATCTTCTTACAGTATTATCATCACAAGGAAGGTACAACTGTAATAAAATATTTTATTAGCAAAAAGATAAAACGAGAGTAATCAAAACAACTACTAAATATCATGCTTGATAAAGGAGTAAAGTGTATAAGGTACATAAAATGCAGGTGATTAAGTTGGGTATTATGGCAAATCAATGTAAAATAATGTGTTGTATACAAAGCTTATTTGTTGTATATAATTGACTTAGTTATATAATATTTAATGCAAATTAGAAGATCTTGAACTGGTAATGTGCTTGGAACTCTGTGGGATGCTGATCTCCTGGAGCATGAAAAAGGTTCTTAAACCTGGAACATGCATATGAAGCCCTGAAGTAGGCGCAGACGTTTGTGCTGATTCCTAATCAGCACAAACCTCAGAATCACTGTAAGTCTTACTGGTATTGAGTAATAAAATCTTTAACACACTGAAAAAGGGAAGAAAAAAAATCCGGCTAAAATTTTTTTGTGAACAGATGCCTGCAGATGACTCTAGCTGGTAACTTTTAGCTGGAAAACCCAGTGGGATCACAGCATAGACACTGAATGTACCTGCCAAGTTGATTGTATCTTAAAATGGTTTGCATCATTTGAATCACAAGAATCTCAGCTTTCCAAAGATATGTGACATGTTTAGTTTGTTTTTGTGTCACAACGTTAACCCTCCCTACAGTGGAACGCTAACAGGTTAAAACAAATATACAGAATTTATATATAATGACATATCAGTATGTGCGTGAGATGTTGAAATGCATGCTGTTTTATTAGTGTTTTTATTTAGTATATGACTACACTGAAATTTAGCATATAAATCCATGGGCTCTATCATACACCTGGTGCGATGCAAGTGTTTTTTGCTAGTTTCAGCCCGAAGCATTTATCATTTCCACGTCCTGTGCCACGTTGTTTAAATAGCAAATGCATTTGCGCCCATTTGTGGGCCCATGGGGCGTGCTGGTCTGAAAACGAGGTGTGTTCAGGTGCATTGTTGGCACATTGCTATTTTGAGGCAACTGAAATAGACTGTGCAATTGACCAACTGAAACCTGGTCTAAAGTCAATGACGCAATATTGTTTTTGTTATTTAAAGAGCGTGTTAGTAATATGCGCCTATAGGTGGGTGAACAACACGTGTACAATCATGCCAGATATTAAAAATGAAAGGATTACAATGTATAAGATTATTATTGTACCCCATAGATGGTCTTTCCTCTCTGGAGAAGTGTTGAGTCTTTGCTCTTGCAAATTCTGTCAAGTAAATAGCGAATCCACCATGGTGCGAGCGCAACTGCCTTTTAAAGGGAATGGGAGATGAGACTCTGATTGGTTTATTGCACATAACACTTAAAACACACCCATTATTCATTAAGAGAATAGGGACAACCCTTTTAGACACCACCTTTATTTTATGCTAAGAAAAATATAACATGATTCAAAATAAAAGAAATACTGATGTAAAAACAAAATACTGCACACCTTTTAAATGTGTAAAATTAGTATTTCGTACAATCTAAAATACGGTGTAATACTGTGTAGAATACAGGAAAACCTATGCACAATCTTGAAGTTTACTATGTGGCTTGAATTCGTTCTAAATAAACTCTCATAAGTTCTTAAGTACTAATATAATATTCACAGTTTGTTTCTGTGAATATTAATTATTTTAACTACTGTGTTTTTCTTAGATTATCTACCTAAATAGATTAGATTACCTTATTCTTTCCATAGTACATCCTTTTGCCATCTCTTACCCAAATAAACAACGCACATGCACCCGGCCATCCACTTGATCTAAAAGAAACCGTGATTCATCAGACCAGGCAACCTTCTTCCATTGCTGCATTGTCCAGTTCTGACGGTCACATGGCTATTGTTGGTGCTTTCAATGGTGGACAGGGGTCATCATGGGCACTATGACTGATTTGCAGTGTTATTAATATGCGCCTATAGGGTGAACAACACGTGTACACTCATGCCAGATATTAAAAATGAAAGGATTACAATGTATAAGATTATTATTGTACCCCGTAGATGGTCTTTCCTCTCTGGAGAAGTGTTGAGTCTTTGCTCTTGCAAATTCTGTCAAGTAAATAGCGAATCCACCATGGTGCGAGCGCAACTGCCTTTTAAAGGGAATGGGAGATGAGACTCTGATTGGTTTATTGCACATAACACTTAAAACACACCCATTATTCATTAAGAGAATAGGGACAACCCTTTTAGACACCACCTTTATTTTATGCTAAGAAAAATATAACATGATTCAAAATAAAAGAAATACTGATGTAAAAACAAAATACTGCACACCTTTTAAATGTGTAAAATTAGTATTTCGTACAATCTAAAATACGGTGTAATACTGTGTAGAATACAGGAAAACCTATGCACAATCTTGAAGTTTACTATGTGGCTTGAATTCGTTCTAAATAAACTCTCATAAGTTCTTAAGTACTAATATAATATTCACAGTTTGTTTCTGTGAATATTAATTATTTTAACTACTGTGTTTTTCTTAGATTATCTACCTAAATAGATTAGATTACCTTATTCTTTCCATAGTACATCCTTTTGCCATCTCTTACCCAAATAAACAACGCACATGCACCCGGCCATCCACTTGATCTAAAAGAAACCGTGATTCATCAGACCAGGCAACCTTCTTCCATTGCTGCATTGTCCAGTTCTGACGGTCACATGGCTATTGTTGGTGCTTTCAATGGTGGACAGGGGTCATCATGGGCACTATGACTGATTTGCAGCTATGCACACTGCGATGCACTGTGTGTTCTGACATCATCTTTTATGCAGCATTAAGTTTTTCAGTAATTTTAGCTACAGTAGTGCTTCTGTGTGATCTGACCAGCTAGGCTTGTCTTAGATCCCCACTTGCATCAGTGAGCCTTGGGCACCCATGAACCTGATGCTGGTTCACCAGTTGTCCTTCCTTGCACCACTTTTGGTACATACAAACCACTACATACTGGGAACACCCCACAAGCCATTTTGGAGATGCTCTAACCCATTCGTCTAGACGTCGCTATTTGGCCCTTGCCAAAGTCACTCAGATCTTTTTGCTTGCCCACACATTCTGCTTCCAACAGATGAAATTCAAGAAGTGACTGTTCACTTGATGCCTACTATATCCCACCTATTGACAGGTGCGATTTTAACAATATAATCAATGTTATTCATTTCCCTTCTCTTTAGTGGTTTTCTCATCATATATAATCATCTGTAGAAATGATGATTATATTGGTTATGTATTGAAAAACATCACAGATTGTACACACTCATTCCAGGCACAGCCAAAACAGATCAGTTCTAGCATTTAACTGAGCGAGTTATCTTGCACCAGTGGTCATGTACCATAGCACTGTGTCTACACCGCTTTCTCATACAGTCTGCATTTGACTAGTTTATCAAGTATTCTGTGATCTAGGAACTTGTACTCACTTCAATTCTTTCAACAGTCACAACAGACCTTGATGCAGTTGCTTCAGTTATGGAATTTGAGGCACATCTGCTGTTTTTCTGTTTCACAGATGAAAAGTGACTGAGCAGAGTTTCGTTTTCAAAGACAGTGCTGCATAAAATCTGCTTTTCCGAATATTGCATAGTTTGACTTTGCGATAAATTCTGCAATAACAGAATTGCAAAATCCTAGAGGGACTGATTATTGCCTTGTCTTGTTTGCCTGTTGGATCGTTTACTTGTGCTGGATATTTGCCTGGACTTTGCCTATGTTTCGTGTTGCCCTCTTGGATTTGTCATTTGGAATTACCCTTGTAATAAACCGCAAATCGATCCTACAACTCAGCCATCAGTAAGTTCTTTACAGAATACTTTTCCCTCTCTGGATCCAATGGAGGTAGATACATTTTGAATATCACAGTGAGATTTTTCAAGGATACCAACAACAACTCCCCAATCTACAAGCCGTGAACGAGCATCTGACGCATCTGTCTCCCTTAAATCAACACCATCTTAACTGGTAAGATTTAAATTTTTAGATAAACTGCTCAATCTGCATTAGGCGCCCTTAAAACCAGCTTTACAAATGCCCCATCCTCAAACACCCTGATCCCAACTTGCCTTTCATAATTGAAGTCGGTGCTTCTGACTTTGGCATTGGGACAGTTATCTCTCAAAGACACAGCACACCAGGCAAAATGTTTCATTGTTTTTTTTGTGAGTTTTTTTGCAGAGTGAAACAATGATGACGGAAAAAAACGAACTATTATCTATCAAAGCAACAAATAGAGGAGTAGAGACACTGGCTAGAGGGAGCCACACATCTGTTCCAAGTCTGTGTTCTTATCACAGATGATAAGAACCTTGAGTATATCAAATTTGCCAAAAGACTGAATCCCAGACCAGCTCATTGTTCTTAACACACTTTTGTTTCACTGTCACCGACCATCCATGCAGCATAAACTGCAAAGCCAGTTCCCTTTCAAGAAGGTATGATGCTACACTACCCACCAGTAAGTATGTGACTTTGCGCAGTGGATCTGCATAACTGGACTAACCAGCTGACTATTCTCGTTGCACAGGATCTGAAATGTTTTGGTCATTGCCTGAGCCAAAGTCTGTCGTCAAAGTGGTTCGGTATAATTACCTCCTAGAACTCTTACACAACTGTATTCCCAAACAGCAGGCATCCATGTTTAATTTTGTCTGCTCACTTTAAGGAACAAGTAATTATATTTGGAAAATGACCCACAGTGGCATCTTCTACTGCAGCAAATTACATTTTTCTTAGTGTTATTTGTCACCAGCTTATCAGGAAGGGACAATTTTGTGCTCTTTGTCTCACTGAATGGAAACTGTGCTTTATTTGCAAATGTTTTATTTGATATTACAATTTTGCACACAACTTAAATTCACAACTTTGGATGGAAACATAGCTATTGATCCACAACTACCACAGAGATTATTCTACACGTCCAACACCCTGACCAAGGAAATGGCCCAGGAAAGGAACACCAGGAGGTGCTCACGGGTGGGGGATTCTATGCTGTCTCAGTCTGCTACTTATCAAGGGTCAATATTCAGAGGATAACTGAGGGAGCCATCCCCTGAATATTGACCCTTCTCACAACTTCCGTTGCATCTTCCTGTTTGTTAGCTTTATAGCCATGCAGTACTCAGAGCACATTTGCAAAGTATTGCCATTATAGTCTGCCGTACCAAGTGTGTTCTCAATGTACCTTGTTTTGCTTCATGTGTATGACTTCTCACCTGTTTTTTGGATCACGATTTGTTGTATTATTGCCTTGCCTCGTTTGCCTGTCAGATTGCATACTTGTGCTGAATTTTTGCCCTTTTGTTTCATGTTTCCCTTTTGGATTTGTCATTTGGAATTAGCTTTTTTTTAAAAACTGTAAATGGATCCTACAACTCAGCCATCAGCAAGTTCCTTACAGTGCTATAGAAAAGTATCTAGTTAACACATAATTACGTGCTCATACCTTTCAAAGCATAAATCTGTATTCAGATTTCAGAATGAGCACCATGACATTTACAGTATATGTGGCTTGCTCGCACTTTTAAGAAGCAGGGAAAATTCCCAACTTTAAATAAATAACCATTTACATGATTAGGATGTTTGCATTATAAAAATAAGGATATTTCAGACATAAAAACACTGACTCATTAGGCAAAGTTTACTCATTAAAATCAGATGCAGTTGCTTCACTTATGATGTGGTGAGAAATTCAGTTCTTTATTATTAGTAAATTTAAGTTTGTAACCATTTAAGTTTGAAACCACGTGAATGCTGTCTTAACTATGACTGTGGTATAATGTGTTAGCCTGGATGACCACCATCTATGCTGGGCATAGTATCTGTTTTATGTTGGGCTCATGTCTAGTTTATACCAACCTGAATTACTTAAAATGTGAAACGGACTGTTTGTTCCTATGCAACTATTTAGGGTTTTCTTTAATGTCTGGTGCAACTGCCGTTGCCTTGTATGCGCTTATCAGTTCATATAGTACTAGATAGATTCACTCTGTCACCAGAGAAATGTTATACAGTACATCTAGGTCACCTGCAGATAACAAGAGCACATCAGTCATATTCCAAATTAATACTTTCAACTTTTTTTTTTTTTTTTTTTTTTTTTTCTCACCCTTTTTCTCTACATCTCTGTCTCTTCTGGGGGGTG